AAAGAGCTTTCGTACTAGGGGTGAACTTACTTCCCATAACAGGATCCACACAGGGGAGAAACCATATAAATGCATGGAGTGTAGAAAATGCTTTACTACTAGCAGTACTCTTACTTCCCATAACAGGATCCACACAGGGGAGAAGCCATATAAATGCATGGAGTGTGGAAAGGGCTTCAGAATGAGGAAACAACTTATTGCCCATAAATCGATCCACACAGGGGACAAGCCATACAAGAGCATGAAGTGTGGAAAGAGCTTTCGTACTAGGGGTGAACTTACTTCCCATAACAGGATCCACACAGGGGAGAAGCCATATAAATGCATGGAGTGTGGAAAGGGCTTCAGAATGAGGAAACAACTTATTGCCCATAAATCGATCCACACAGGGGACAAGCCATACAAGTGCATGAAGTGTGGAAAGAGCTTTCGTACTAGGGGTGAACTTACTTCCCATAACAGGATCCACACAGGAGAGAAGCCATGTAAGTGCCTCGAGTGTGGAAAGAGCTTTACTACTAGGAGTGATCTTACTTCCCATCATAAAAGGACGCACACAGGGGAGAAACCATATAAATGCATGGAGTGTGGAAAGAGCTTTACTACTAGGAGGGAACTTACTTCCCATAAAAGGATCCACACAGGGGAGAAGCCATATAAATGCATGGAGTGTGGAAAGAGCTTTACTACTAGGAGGGAACTTACTTCCCATAAAAGGATCCACACAGGGGAGAAGCCATATAAATGCATGGAGTGTGGAAAGAGCTTTACTACTAGGAGGGAACTTACTTCCCATAAAAGGATCCACACAGGGGAGAAGCCATATAAATGCATGGAGTGTGGAAAGGCTTTTAGTGAAAACGGTCATCTTACTTCCCATCATAAAAGGATCCACACAGGGGAAAAACCACATGAATGCATGGAGTGTGGAAAGAACTTTCCTACTAGGAGTGAACTTACTTCCCATAACAGGATCCACACAGGGGAGAAACCATATGAATGCATGGAGTGTGGAAAGGCTTTTAGTAGAAAGAGTAATCTTACTTCCCATCATAAAAGGATCCACACTGGGGAGAAGCCATATAAGTGCACGGACTGTGGAAAGACTTTTACTAAAAACAGTTCTCTTATTTCTCATAACAGGATCCACACAGGGGAGAAACCATATAAATGCATGGAGTGTGGAAAGAGCTGCAGAATAAGCAGACACCTTATTGACCATAAATCGATTCACACAGGGGACAAGCCATATAAGTGCCTGGAGTGTGGAAAGAGCTTTCGTACTAGGAGTGATCTTACTTCCCATCAGGATCCACACAGGGGAGAAGCCATATAAATGCATGGAGTGTGGAAAGAGCTTTACTACTAGCAGTTCTCTTACTTCCCATAAATGGATCCACACAGGGGAAAAGCTGTATAAGTGCCTGGAGTGTGGAAAGAGCTTTCGTACTAGGAGTGATCTTACTTCCCATCAGGATCCACACAGGGGAGAAGCCATATAAATGCATGGAGTGTGGAAAGAGCTTTACTACTAGCAGTTCTCTTACTTCCCATAAATGGATCCACACAGGGGACAAGCTGTATAAGTGCCTGGAGTGTGGAAAGAGCTTTCGTACTAGGAGTGAACTTACTTCCCATCAGGATCCACACAGGGGAGAAGCCATATAAATGCATGGAATGTGGAAAGAGCTTTACTACTAGTAGTTCTCTTACTTCCCATAAATGGATCCACACAGGGGACAAGCCATATAAGTGCACAGAGTGTGGAAAGAGCTTTACTATTAGCAGTTCTCTTACTTCCCATAACAGGATCCACACAGGGGAGAAGCCATATAAATGCATGGAATGTGGAAAGAGCTTTACTACTAGTAGTTCTCTTACTTCCCATAAATGGATCCACACAGGGGACAAGCCATATAAGTGCACAGAGTGTGGAAAGAGCTTTACTATTAGCAGTTCTCTTACTTCCCATAACAGGATCCACACAGGGGAGAAGCCATATAAATGCATGGAGTGTGGTAAGACTTTTCGTCAAAACAGTACTCTTACTTCCCATCATAAAAGGATCCACACAGGGGAGAAACCATATTAATGCATGGAGTGTCGAAAGAGTTTCTCTAATAATACATGCCTTATAAATCATAAAAGGCCAGCAATGTTTGGTAACCAGAAGGTAAGCCGTGAGAAATCAGAGAAGCCCTGAGTGTAGCCAATGTTGTCAACTAAAGTTTTGAAGTCCTCTATGCTTCCCTCTCTCAATTTAGAATTATCAACCGAATTAAAAGAGCAAATGTCTCAAGGAGGGAGAAGGGAAATGGCTCAGGCATTGAATACAGGGCAGTCCACCCCTGGGGAGTACTTGGGGCTCTCTGAGGTTGGTCGTTTTCTTGGAAACGTTTCTTGCTAGCACTGAAGATGTAACCTAGCCGGGTAACGAAACAT